AGATGAGAAAACAAAAGTGGGGAGGAAGAAACCAAAAAGCGGGAAGTTAGATAGCAAGACTTGTGCCATACCCTGTCAAATGCTTTGGAGATGTCGAGTAATGCTATGCGTCTTATAATTATTATCTTTAGTTAACTACAGCTGCTCCTGACTACGACAGGGTTAGGGACCCAAATCCAAGTTGCAAGTCAAAATGGTCCTAAGTCAGAAAATGCTTAAATAACTGAAAATCTAAATGGGTGTCTCTTTTTCTTCTCAGCACCACAAAACTCTCACTTGCAAGCTTGCTTGTGTTTTAAAATGAAATTACAAACGAAAATTTTGTCAGTACACAAGCGCAATCACTGACATTGGAACTAGAAAATAAAGTAATTTGACAAAATTTTTAGTGCGACTAGAGGCAGTCGTATGTCGGAGTAATTAAATGGTCGGGTAGATTAAGTAAAATTGAGGAGTAGCTGCTTTATTTTTTTTAATTTACTGTGGATTTATTTATTTGAGACAAAAAATTCTTACTTTTTATTTCAGTGTAGTGCTTTATGAATAAGATACTTTACTTCAATTGAGTACCTGCAGTAAAAAAATACTACACAGTTATGTGAAACAATATGACAACCAAAGGCGAGGATAGTGGGTGCTCACGCCCACCATCCTCCCACATCAGTGCTGTGTGGATCATCTGAAGTCAGCAGACTTTTACTTCTACTAAGTAATAATTTGCCAATGTAACAATACTTTTTACTTAAATAACAAAGGTACAATTAACATAGTAGCTGCCCTTACATTCTGTAACTTCAAAATTCCCCAATTTTCCTTCTAATATAATATTATAGTACAATTACTAAACACACTTCTGGAATTGAATTAGTTGCCATTTTCAACCCATGCAAATAATTAGTCTAGATAGATTATATGATAGTAACAATTACCTAAGTTCCCTTACGCCGAACTAGTAGTACCTACCTGAGGAAGGAATAAATCACCCAATAAGTTTTGTTTTCCATAATCTGCCAAGTCCTGTGTGTGTGTGTTAATTTTATCTTGGAAGGGCTCTGGTATCTTGCCAGATCTATCTTTACTTTTCCTGTAGTTCTAAGTAACTGAGTTGAAATTAAAGTCACCTAAAATAGTCTCTATTGCAGACTATTTATTTCCTTTAATCGTCGTTTTGTTTACCTCCTACAGACCGATTGAATGATCTGTAAAAGCTCTGTTTAAGTTTTCAATAGCTATCTTCACCTTTTCACATTACAAAACTACCATACACTGTTCTTTACCATACCCTACCAGTATAAGCAGCAACTGTAGCTGCAGATGCCATGGAAATATTGTGTTCTAACAAATCAAACTACTGTATGTACTATCTTGGAAGACTGACTCATCAGTGATCCACTTCCCCAAAAGGTAAAAGGCCGTCAGGATCAGTGGACAAGGCCATCCATAGATAGGATTTTTACACCTGAAAGTGATTCTGTTGTGTTATTGGTAACATTTTTGCCACCGTTATTATCACCAAAGACAGATTGATGTATCCCAATGGGCTGTGATAATGGCATATAGAGGTGCTCTGTCAAAGCCTCTCTACAGAGATTTCAAACCAGCCAAAATATACCTCCAAAGAGATTACCACCAAAACTATACAACTCCTACAAAACGAGAGGTCATTTAGTGTCCACAACTAATGAAACCTTTGCGAGAACAAGTAACAGTAAAAGAAAACTTTCTACCTCAAGTGGAATAATAATATTTTGATATGAAACTGATTTTAGTTTACAGGAAGCTACTCTAATTGTAATGGTCAGATAAATATTACAGTAACCTACAAACACCTGTGTTTGTTTGCATTCATCCTCAAGCGACTACTCCATTTTTTCCTTGTGATAGGTAAATACAAATTTGAGATTACTAAATATAAAAATGGGTTATTGAAAGATTATATGTATCCACGAACATTTGGTAATCGATAGAAGAATTATATGATTGGTGTGGAAAGACTATTTTTAATTTTTCAAAATATCGCCATTATATTTTATATATGCTATGTATCGGTTTTAATGTTTATCATAGCAGCCATCTTGGCAACTCATCCCTGTTAATGCGCTATTCAAACTTACAATACTATCTAGCTGATTTTGGAGAAGCGTACTGAAGTATTATCATTATTATTTCATTCCGTGCCTGTCAGCTGAATCTGCGGTTGCCTGGATACCAGATAACTGGAAGTTCAATGTAGTACAAACAGTAAAGAAGTCAAAATCCGGATGCCAGAAATCCGGGCCGCGAAAGAATCGGACCTTTCAAAAACTGTTTTTTTTAGTTAGCTTTTGTTGACATGTGTGCGTGAGTCTACAGCTGCACAGTGACAACAAGCGACCATGCGGTGCTTCACTTTAAACAACAATCAGAGCATAGCGACAGCGTGTAATTTTACAGATTCTACTCTTTCCATTACAGAGTACTGTACAAGCCCATAATAATGGCTCCTAAAATTAGATAAACCCGTTGTGTGAAGAAAAGAAGAACGTTGAAATTGGTGACAAATTTGAAATAATTGAAACCTGAGCGTGGTGCTGACAATACTGTTCTAATGGAAACATATCTGACATTGGAAAGTCTACAATTTATGATATAAAGGCAAAGAAATAAAATTCTAGAAATCACAGCTTTTTTTCTTCCACAAACTGCTGGATTTTTGATAAATGAAGCATGCTATATTTGCTAATAAATAAACTAACTAAATACCTGTTCCATCTCTTCTTTATTGCTCCTTAAATTTGAATTTTTAAAGTACTGTAGAATCCGGAAAATCAAAGATCCGGACCGACCCAATCCCCAAAGCAGTCCGGATTTTTAGAGCTTCTACTGTTGTAATTTGACTTTAAAGTACATAAGGAAAATAAAACACAAGTGACATTTTTGCATTATAATAATATGGGTTGACAACCCTTTACCCGGTATCCTAAATTCCGAAAACAAAACAAAACTGAAAACATATATATATATATATATATATATATATATATATATATATATATATATATATATATATATATATATATATATATATATATATATATATATATATATATATATATATATATATATATATATATATATATATATATATATATATATATATATATATATATATATATATATATATATATATATATATATATATATATATATATATATAGTGTGTATGTAGATGTATATAGATATATATATATATATATAGACAGATATATATATATATATATATATATATATATATATATATATATATATATATATATATAAAGTTTTTTGATATATATATATATATATATATATATATATATATATATATATATATATATATATATATATATATATATTAATTATGCTCATTTTTATAAACATTAATTCAGCTAGACATTCAATGTTAACGTAATGAATCTTTTGTACATAAAATGGCAGCTGTTTTACATGATTATGCATGTCGTCTGCGTTGGCGGGTTGTTCAATCACACCGAGAAATTCAAGTTTCGCCGAGTTGAACAGCCGCCAGCGTGCAGGCGACATGCGCCAATCATGCTAAACATTACTGAATGTAATTAAAAATGGGGAATATTAAACACTGAAAATGACACAGCATGTGTTCATTGATTACAAAACCAGTGACTGACTGGTTCTACATATAAAACTTAGAAAATAAGACCATGGTTGTAACAGCAAATTAATATGGTTGTTTTAAGTAATGTTATTTAATGTTATCGTGGAACAATAAGTAGCCGCGATAATGGTAAAAGAGATCGCATATGTAAGTCTTTGTCTCGCGCGTGGCTATATCGTCATTACTTTATAAGAATATAAGCCTTATTTACTGTTCATACTTTCTCAGCTTTTAATTAATGTTTCTGAATTTGTTTTATTGAATCAGTAACGATATTGTGCAAATTAACAATACAATTTATTAATATCATTGGAGATAATACATTTTATTATTATTATTATTATTATTATAATTATTATTATTATTATTGTTATCATTATTATTTTATTTTGGTGTATTTTTATTAAAATTTTTATTTACTATGAATAATTATTATTATTACCGTTATTATTACTTATACATTTTCGCTCTGAGCCTGATGTGGGTCAGTGATCTATGCCCAGGTGGGCTATGCACATTAAAAAAAAAAAACCATTCTGAAATGCACCTGGCCCCAAGGATTTCGGATAAGGGATTGTCAACCTGTACTGAATTTAAGGGTCATCAATAGGGCTAATGAGTGGTTGCTTAGTGCACAATGGCCCCCAGAACCCCCACCCCCCCAAAAAAAATGGCTAAAGTCCGGACAAACAGCAAATCCAGACTTTTTTCCCTATAATTGCCCGGACTTTCGAGGGTTTACTGCATTATGAACATGTACTATACTGTATATACTGTACACACACACACACACACATATATATGATAATGGTATTTTCCTTTCAAAAATACTGTATACAGTATACTACTCAAAATAGGATGTCAGTCATCATCATCACCATCAATGTTTTGCAGCTATTTTTCACGCTTCTGTGAGTTAGCTACAATTACCTGACAGCAGCTCTCCATGTTTGGCAGTCTCTCTCTTGTCAGGTTCCGAACTCATATTACTTCTTAAAACCTCTCCCCATGATATTCCTGGCCCACCCCTGGCTCTACCTACCCTCCAAGTCTAGGCTCGTGCACCTCTAGACCCAATTGGTTTCATCCATTCTCTCCACATCCCCAAGCCATCTCAACTTGCCTCTACACAGAACTTTGCTAATACTGTACTGTATTCTCAATCACCAGAGGCCCGCTTCACTCAGTGTCACAGTATACAAGTAGTCACGGTCTGGTCCATCATGCCAAGAATATGAAATAGGTTCAGTGATGAGGCAAGAATAAAAACACTAGACACTATTAGTAGGAACTGGAGAGAAACACAACACACTCCTCCCCACCAAATACTCTCGACATACAGTACCTGATTGTGACACAGACGAACTTGATCTCTGACAGTGGCAAAATACCAGTGCTTGTCGACCTTCAGCCGAGACAAATTACTCTCTATCGTTTTCATGAACTGCGGGAGATAATTCTGAAATACAAAAAATGTGAGAGTTATCTAAGGTGCTCATGAATATTTTTAAGTCTAGATTTTGATACACAGCGTAGATATTGTGATATTGCCTTCTTGTGGCAATTTTTCATAACTTATGTTTCACCTCCTACACAAAAAGACAAATTTCCTCAAATTTAGACAATTATAATTATTTCAGAAAATTCAGTTATCATATTAGCACTATTATAACCAATCAGATTAACACTTTTACCAAAACTAACAGTTCTACCCAATCATATTAATATTTGAACTCAAATCAGATTAACATATCCAGCCAATCATAGTCATGAAAAGTCTTGATTTTGTGGTTTACTCACATTTCGGAGCTGGAGGTTCCTGGAGAATCGCTTCACCATCATGACAGTGTAGAGGGAGAGCAACTCCAGAGTATTGAAGACAATGGATTCTGGTGGTAGTGATGGTTCTGAATTGCTGTAAATGACAACAAAAATTATATGAGAAAATTATAGTACAGTATACATGTAGTACATGAGGCATTGTAACGGTGACAACATTCGCTAAAAAGGGTTTCCTACTAAATAATAATGTAAAAAATTATATAGATCATAAAATACAGAATCATAAAACTACCTTACCAACGAAGAGCAAAATAGGATAGAGAGGACCTTGAGTAGTAAGAGAGCAGAGCAAGACCTCAGCCGTGAGAGTGTGAGGTATTTTTTCTACCAACCTTTACATGCATTTCCCTGCCAAAACAATGTGGTAAGGCTGCCACCTATATATCTTAATGGAGTCCAACTGATGGGACAGAAATATTTCTTGGGTAGGTGGATCACCTAAGGGAGTAACGACCCTGCCTTGCCAGCTAAGAGGGTTCTTGGCATTCCCACATTCACATAATACCCAGTTTCCACCCTGTAAAAGTGACAAGACTGGAAGCCAATTGTAAAATTGGTACAGGTTGACCATCAAAAATCCGCCAATCGATAAACTGGAACCTTCAGTTTTCCGGCATGGATTTCGGAGCGCATTTTCAAATTTCCTGCCTTGGCGCACCATTGTTTTCTGGACGCGCCGTTTATGTTTTGATAGCGCTGTACTCCAGAATCAGCTGTTGGGTCTTGCTTGCACCTGCTAACAAGCATTCATGCTCATTCCTTCTGATTTTATCATTTAATTGCTGCTGTATAGCCCCATCATGGATTCAGCAAAGAAAAGCGGTGGCGTAAAACGTAAACATCGTGCGTTGTCGATCGCAGAGAAAGTGGAAGTGCTTAAAAAACTTGATAGCGGCGTGTCTGTGCGAACCATTTGTGAAACATACAGCACCTGCTCTTCAACAGTGTATGATATTAAAAAACAGAAAGAAAAACTGTTAAAGTTCTTTTCTGACTGGATCAAAAAGGAAAATGTTTGTAAGGAAGTCAATGTCGGAGGGAAAAAGTGCGGAACTAGACCAAGTTCTCATAACCTGGTTTAATCTTCGTGTAAGTGAAGGTGTGGAAATTTCTGGTGATTTATTAAAGGAACAAGCCAAAGTGTTTCATGAAGCGCTGGGATTGCAACACAAGTGTGACTATACAGAGGGTTGGCTGCAACGTTTCAAGTCGCGACATGGCTTCCATTTTCGTGCAGTATGTGGTGAAAAACATTCAGCAGACAAGGATGCAGCTAGTGCCTATGTGGATGAATTTGCAAAGTTAGTTAGTGATGAACATTTAAGTCCTGAACAAGTGTACAATGCTGACGAGACTGCCTTATTTTGGAGATGTACGCCAAAAAGAACTCTGACAACTGAGGATGCAGAAAAGCACCTTATACATGAACTTCTTGCTATGTTAAAGATGTAACTAATCCTGATGCCAAGGAGCTTTCATCAAGGATAAATGAAGATGTTTTAACGGAATGGTTGGCTGTTGATGATAATGTGTCTACAGTTCATCATTACACCGATTCTGAAATTGTAGATATGGTTAAAAGTCCAGAGAGAAATGCCTGTACAGGTAGTGATGAAGATGAAAGCAGTGAAGAAAATGAGGAAGATGTGAGAGACAGAATCTCTATTGACAGGTTAATTACGTTGACAACTGAACTGCTGGCTGGACTAGAGCAACGAAGTTTTGTAAGTGAACAAGAAATCATGAATGTTTTCTTGCTCCAAGATAAACTTATTAGAGAAAGACCCAAGTATATGAAGCAACAGATATTGCACGATACATTCAAGAAAATAGCTAGGAAGCAGGAAGAAGCAACAGCGGTGTCCACACTTGATAACCCACTGCCATCAACTTCAAGACAAGTTGAAGCTGTTCCTGTTGCTGAGGATGTTGTCACTGTCAGTGATAAAGATGATAATCCTGACAGCCCATCTGCTGTTTAGCCTGGTAAACATTAAAATTTCATTTGATTTTCATTTAGTGTTTAATTTTCTTTGTTTAAAGGACTGTACAGGTAGTCATTTTCTGTTAAACTTATACAGCAAATATAACCATCAGTTTCCCGGCATTTTCGAAAATCCGGCACTCCTCAGGTCCCGAAGTTGCCGGATTTTTGATAGTCAACCTGTAATCAAGGTTAACTCATGAAAGTATGGAAAATGCCCATAAAAAGCTATGATATGAACAAGGTTCTAAATGTTCACAATAGCTATATACAGTGACCCCTCGCCCAACGCTGGTTTGTCCAACGTGCTTTTGACTATACCGTACACTTTTAATTATGTGACCAAACAATTTGCCCAACACGGAAAATTTTTATATAAGTCGGAGATGCCCGCCAGTCTCGCTCAGGTGCTCGTACCGCCAACATTGTACCAAAGAGGTTTTACAACCTTTTGTGTCTTTGCGTTGCTTTGTGTGTTTGTCCTTGCAGTGTGGCCCCCAAATGCAGAGGTGATGCTAGTGGTGGTAGCACACCCAAGAAAAGTAAAAAAATTATGACATTAGCCAAGAAAATAAAGATTTTATATCGGCTACGTGATGGAGTAAGCGTAGCCATACTCACAGTTTGTAGCCGTGTGTACAAAATACGTGCAAGTGTGCAACCATCTGCATCTCTTTGTGCTAAGGTAGCTCAAGTACCAAGGAGGGATAGATACTTAGAAAAAATTGAAAACTATTAAATGTTTGGATCAGTGGACAAGATGAATGAGAAAGGATCTAATGTCGATAGCATAGCAATACATGAGGAAGCACGTAGCATGTATGCTCATGTTGTGAAAACTGAGGGGCAGGGAGTGACGGTGCTTCTGTGACTGATTTCCCAGCAAGCAAAGGGTGGCTTGAAAAATTTAAACACTGTTTTGCTTTACATAATGTGAAGCTTCGGGGAGAGGCTGGATCAGCAGACAAAGAGGCTGCAGGGCACTTCAAGCTCATGCTGCTTCAATTGATCAAGGACAAAGGGTGTGCCCTGGAGCAAGTGTTTAATGCTGACGAGACTGGCCTCTTTTATATATGTATGGGTAACTGAACCTTTTTTTTTATGGGGAATAGCCCACCCGGGCACAGGTCATCGACCCACAACGGGGCCTGGGGGGCATAAAAATAAGAGTAAAAACAAATTAAAAATAGAAAAGAAAAAGACTATACAGTGGTCCCTCGGTTAACGAGTACAATTCGTTCTAGAAGGTTGCTCGTTAACCGAAACCATTGTTTCAATGGGTTTTTGGGTAATTGGTTCCAGCTCACCGAAAATTGCCTAAAGTCAACAAAAATGGTAGTAAAGCACACTTACTTTGAGGTGTGTATGTAGAAGGCTCCTGGATGATGATGATGGGAATTAGTATGGGGGTGGAGAAGGGAGAAGAGAAGTCACCCCATGGTGCCATTTCACCCATAAAATTTTAGTTTATTTGGTGTAATTAAAGATTATTTTCTTTAAATCAATACTGCACTGCATTATATATTCTCAATATGTAAAATAAATTTCAAAATGACCAATAATTTGACTAGATACGCAGAAAAAAGCATTTATGTTGAAGAGAGTCTGAAGCAAGATGTTACCTCCACTGAAAAGACACAGAGACTGACGCCTGTATGGTATGTTGACAGGCTGTTTGGTGCGCTAAAAACTAGTTTCCCTGTACTTAAATTATGTTAAATAATTGTTATAATGACTAAAATAATTTAACATAAGACTTTTAAAATTATTGAAAAGTACAAACTTCTTGATATGTACTAAAATAGTAAGGAATTTAAGCCCTAGAACCAATTACTGTATTGGCGGACTAATACTACATCTGGTGGACCGCCAAATACAAGCGAAAACATGTGGAGGGGGCTCGTAAGAAATTCATTAATCGAGGGATTGCTCGTTAGCCGAAGTTAAGAATCTTATGGAAGGTAATTCGTTAACCGAAATTTCGTTAACCGAGGGATCACTATATTAATCTATACCACGAAGATGCCGGAAAACCAGCATTTTGAAGCGAGACAGATTGTAAGAGTATGGAAACACAGAAGAAGGCAGAGCATTCCACAGTTTGGCTGTGTGAGGAAAGAAGGATGTACAATAACGGGTTATTCTAGTGTGACCAACAACCACACAGAAACGGTGGGCACCATGGGCAAGACGAGTGTTACGAGCCCACGGCCTTGCCAGCAGTACACAGGATGCCAAATCCACCGAACATTGCCCATTAAAGTACCTGTAAAATAGAGTGAAGCAACATTGCAGCAAAGAGAAAGGGAAGAAAGATTATCAACTAAAGGAGGAGAGTTAATAAGACGAAATGCCTTTGATTCCACCCTATCTAACAGTTGGACAGAAGAAGAGCCACCCCAGATATGAGAGCAGTACTCCAAGTTAGGATGAATGAATCCCTTTTATACTTGAGGCAACTGCTCCAGAGTGAAGTACAGTACAGTAGCTACGGCATCTGTACAGCATTCCCAGCTTTCGGGAGGCAGCTTTAAAATTTTACAGTGACCCCTCGTTTAACGAACGCCTCGGTTAACGAAATTTCGGTTAACGAACTGCCTTCCATAAGGATATTCAATTCGGTTAACGAACAAAAATTCGGTTAACGAATTTCTTACGAACCGACCTCAACATGTTTTCGCTTGCACTGGCCGGGCAACCAGCTTTAGTGTCAGTCCGCCAATACATTAATCGGTTCTTCGGCTTAAATTCCTAACTATTTTAGTAAATATCAAGAAGTTTATACTATTCAATAATTTTAAAAGTTTAATATTCAATTTTTTAGTCATTTTAACAATTATTGAACATAATTGAAGGTAAAGTGACTAGTTTAATGTGCAGCATCCAGCCTCTTAACACAGCAAACAGGCGTTAGTCTCTCTCTGTTTTCACTGGAGGTAACATCTTGCTTGAGACTCTCTTCAACTAAACGCTTTTTTTCTGTGTTTCCAAGCAAATTATTGGTCATTTTGAAATATATTTTACATATTGACAATATATAATGCAGTGCAGTGTTGATTTAAAGAAAATAATCTTGAAATACACCAAGA